GGTTACCAGGGGGGTAGAGGGTGGGAAGGGATAGACTGGGATTTCAAAATTGTAGAATAGATAAACAAGATTACACTGTATAGCATAGGGAAATATACACAAAATGTTATGATAAATCAGAGAAAAAAATGTGACAATGAGTGTGTATATGTTCATGAATGACTGAAAGATTGTGCTGAACACTGGAATTTGACACAACACTGTAAAATGATTATAAATCAATAAAAAATGTTAAAAAAAAAAAAGAAGGCTGCAAACCAAGTCTCTACAAATTTTAAAGCACCAAAATCAAACAGAGCATATCCCCTGGCCACAAAACAATTAATAACGAAAAGACAACTAGAAAATCCCTAAGTTTAGAAATTGTGAAGTGCCATTTTTAATACCTTATGGTTTAAAAATTATAATAAAAATTAGAAAATATTTTGAAATGAACAGTCATAAACGTGATAATGAGATGTAATTAAAGCAGTACTTGGAGGAAATTGTTTAGATTTACATACACACACACATATACACACATATATAAGATATACACATATATTATATAGCAGAACAAAAGAAAGGCCAAAAAAAAATCAATGAGCGAAACATTTACTTCAAGAAGTTCAACAACTCAATAAACCCAAAGAAAGTACAAGAAGGAACAGATATGTAAGGGCAGAAATTAATGAAACCAAAAGTGTACATACAATAAAGAGCCAATAAATAGCCAGTCCAAAGTTGGGTTTTTAAAAGACCAATCCAATCAAAAAACCTGTGGTAGCAATACTGATAAAATGAAAAGAGGGGGTGTAAATAATCAGGAATGACAAGAGAGCCACCACAACAGATCCTGAGGACATTAAAGATAGTAAGAGAATTTTTTACCAACTCGATGCCAATAAATCTGAAGATTTATATAAAATGGACATATTACTAGAAAAACATAACTTAACCAAAACTAAACTCAAAAAGATGTTCAGAAGCCCTGGACAGTCTTATAACCCTTAAAGAAATGAATTCCATCATTAAAAATCTCCCCACCAAGCAAACTCCAGGCCTAAATGACCTCACTGGCAAGTTCTACCAAATATTCAAGGAAGAAGTAGAATCACTATTATACTAACTCTTCTGGGAAATAGAAAAAGAAGAAACACTTCCCCTAAACCAAAACCCTGCAACCTAAAAATGGGAATAAACAGGTCAATCTCACTCACGAACATGGATACAAAAATCCTAAACAAAATATTAGCCAGTTGAGCCTGTCAGAATCCTCTCTGTACAAGGTACCGGAAATTGAAAGCAGGGACTCAAACAGTTCTGTGTACACCCGTGTGCACAGAAGCACTGTTCACAATAGCTAATAGGTGGAAATGAACCAAACGTCCATCAACAGATGAATGGATAAACAAGATGTGGTCTTTATGGGCAATGGAATATTATTCCGTGTTAAAAAGGATGGAAATTCTGTCACATGCTACAATATGGATGAAACTTGGACACATTATGCTGAGTGAAATAAGCCAGTCACAAACTGACAAATACTGCATGATCCACTTGCATGAGGTACTTCGAGGAGTCAAACTCATGGAGACAGAAAGTACAATGAGGGCTTCCAGGGGCTGGGGGAGGGGAGGAATGGGGATCTGCTGTTTAACGGGTACAGGGTTTCAGTTGTGCAAGATGAAAGAGGTCAGGAGATCAGTTGCAGAACATTGTGAATATACTTAACACTACTGAATTGTACATTTAAAAATGGTTAAGGTGAAAAAAATGATTAAGATAGTAAATGTTATGTGTATTTTCCCCAAACTAACATTTTAAAAATAAATGGTATTTCTAAATACCAGCTACAATTAGAAAATAAAATGTTTTAAAATGTGTAGTTTACAGTAGCACAAAAACATACGCAGCACCTAATAAAAATCACAGCTGTGTAAGATCACTATGGATAAAATTGTAACACCGCACTGGGAAATTTTAGACAAATGGAATGTTTTAGTTCTCTAATTGGAAGACTTGGTGTTTTAAGATGTCAATTCTCCTCTAAATAAGCTTACAGATTCAGTGTAATCTCAATCAAAATCCCAACGGGATTTGCTTTTCTGTGGAATTTGACAGTCTGATTCTACAAATTCTATGGAAGTACAAATAGCAACAAGTAAGCCATATCTCACGCCATTTCTACGTGCGAGGTGCTTTTTACGTGCTCTATAAATAGAACTATTATTACTCCTCAAGAAAACCCCAGGAAGCAGGTAGTGTATTATTCCCATTGTCGAGAAAAGGAAACTTCAGGGTACATGCTCTTAACCACTTCTCTAAAGGGCCTCCAAGAATAGCCTTGAAGGAGGGCAAGGTGGGAAGCCCTGCTATGAACTTGTTTTAAACGCTGTAGAATTAGGGCTCTGCAACCAAAACCAGTCCCAGGAAGGACCCTTGACCCACGGCTGAGGAAGTGAGACCTGCGATGCGGATGGAAAGACTGACTTTTCGCAGGTGAGGCTGGGGAAACTGGTTATTCATGTGGAAAACAGGAAATTGGATCTCTCCTAATACAATAATCAATTCCAGGTTGATAAAAGACCTAAACAGGAGAGGCAGATCTAGAGAGCGCCCTGACCCGACACAGGAAAGTAGCTTCCTGTCTCAGGTTAAGGAAGGGTTCTTGAATGGACATGAAAAACACAAACGATAAAAAAGGAAAACACTTATAAATTCTACTGCATTAAGAACATCTGTTCATTATCAAAACACCACCAGGAGAGTGAAAAGACAAGCCTAGAGTGGGAGAAGAGATTTCAAATTCATGTATCCATCAAGGGACTAGTTTTCAAAATATAAAAAAGGTCATTGAGATGCTGCAAAACCCCAAAATCACACAGCACAATTTTGCCAAAAATGGGTAAAACACTTGAACAGGAACTTTACAAAAGAGGAAATCCAAATGGCCTTTAAACTTATGAAAAAGTGTTCAACCTCATGAGTAATGAGGAAAATAAAAATTCCAACCAACAGAGACATTATCTTATACCCCTCGCCCCAGATTTAGAAAGGTAAAAATATTTGATAATAAGCAATGTTAGCAAGAATGCAGAGCACCAGGAACTCTCAAAGATGGTTAATGGGAGTGAAAACAGAAACCACCACTTTGGAAAACAGTTAAGCCGAATCTAAGAGTTGAGGCCATGCATCCTCCAAGACTCCACAGCTCTACTCCTAGGTGTGTGCCTGACATGGTCAGAAAACAAGTCCCAGAATGTTTGCTGCAGACTCAAGGGGGCCAAACTGGAAACAACCCAAGTGTCCATCAAAGGTATTTGGAGCAATAAACTGTGGGATGTAGTCATATGAGCAACAAGAACGAATGAAACCCAGTTTCATCCAACAGCAGGGACCACGATGACAAATTGATGGCATTGATGGGAAGAAAGACAGCACGCAAAATGTTTCTGTCCAAGCCCAGAGATGGGCAGGATCGAAACCATGCTCAGGGATGCATTCAGTGGTGAAACTACACAGAAAATCCAGGATGTCTGGTTCACACCAGTCAGGAGAGAAGATACCCTGTTGGGGGCAGGGAGCAGGAGCTGTGATGGGGGCTGAGCACACACTAAAGGGGCTTTTGGACTTGGCTGATGGTCATATGTGGGTGTTTGCTTTAGAGTTATTCATTGAACTGTTTTATGTACTTTTCTAAATATATGTTCTATTTCACCGTTAAAAGGAAAAGAATGTCTAAATAAACAAAAAAATTTTTTAACATTATCTTTTGGTTAATAAATCATGGATGATATTTTCCTCTTTTTACTTTTCATATCTTCCAATTTTTCTTAAAAGACTATGTATTACTCTTAAATGAAAAAAAGCGTTATTATCAAAAGAAATCCTCTTAACCCCACTAGGGCTCGCTCACACTTCACCCCTTCCTGACCACCGTGTCCACAGTCCTTTCTCCCTCTTGCTCCCACAGATAATCAGGCAGTTGCTGGGCACTTTTCAGGGGCCTGCTCTGGGGCAGACACCATGCTAGATGCTGGGGCTACACGGAAAACAAGGCAGTCATGTTCCTGCTTCAGGGAGCTCAGAGTCTGGGAGGCGGGCTAGGCATTAGACAGACAATAAAGTAATTCCAGGATGGGAAATAAATACTACAAAGACAAGGTGGTGCTGAAGGCTCTTCTGGAACCTCTTAAGCACATGGTGCCTTGCGTGGCTGCCATTTTTTTCAGGTCACTTATCTCCTAGCCAGATTGGAAGCCTTTCCGCCTGATGCTGCATCACCCCATGACTCACAGGCATGTGCACACACACAAACACACACGCAGACGCGCACATACACACACACACAGTGCCGGGGGTCGGGGCAGAGCCGTGCTCAGCAAGCCTGTGTGCGGTAGATGAGAACCGACCCACTCTGACCCAGGGATGTGCTGTTCGGGTGGAAAAATATCAGACACAGGTTGAGGATCTTCTGCACCTGTGCTCCCCCTCCCCGCAGCTTTAATCAGACCAGGGGAGGGGGCCCTCTGCCCCAGTAACAGTGAAGGGGTGCACAGCTGGGACCAAGCCACGATGCTCCCAGCGAGGAGGCTTACTTGGGTTTCTTGACGTCCGTCATCTTGGTGTGCTCTCCAAACTCCCGCTTCAGGAACTCCTCCAGGGGCCCCGACTCGTAGGGCCGCGAGCCCCGGAACACCTCATCCTTCATGCGAAAGTACACACCACGCATGTAGGCCATGGACTTGCCTAGGAACAAGGGGGTCGGAGGTGGGGAGAGACACGAGGGCCGCCCCCCGCAGACGGCTGCGCACAGGCCGGCTGCGGGAACCAGAGGGACGGATTTACAAGGCACGGACCAAGCTGGGGCGCCTGGGACCCTCCTGTGCAACTTCCCACACAGGCAGGGACCCCCTTCAGCAGCGCCTAGGTTTGATATTTCATTTGGTATTCGTAATTTTGTATTATTTTCCTTGAAGAAGGGCCCTGAAAGTGTAAAAGCTTGTAAATCTAGATCCACCCTGTTGGTCACAGAATAGAAGGAACAGCCCTGTCCTGTGAGCCTCCCAGAACAGATGGGGGTCAAAGGCGCCTCACCCAGGCCAGAGGTGTGCGTGCGGAGGCTGTGGAGAGGGGAGCTTCTGCCCGCATGAGAGGCTGAACTAGCCTCCAGCCCATCACTAGCCACCCCCTGCCCCCCAGCCCTGCTCCTTCCGCCCTCAGACTCCAGCACCCTCGGCTGCCCCACGAAGGGCTTACGAGCCCTCCCCTCCCCTATGACCCTCTCTGCAATGCCCTGAAAATAAACCCAGCCCAATTCAAGGGCAGGTCTCAGGCCCACTGATCCTGGCCCCCAGGCCCAGGGGCTGCCCTCACTGTGCAGAATGGCCAGGGCCAGGATGCCCCCCGTGCTGGTCCCTGCCACCCAGTCAAAGAGGTCCTTGGTGGCAATGCCCGAGGCCTTCTCGATGGCGATGAGGAGCTGGATGATCACCAGGCCTTTCACGCCCCCTCCGTCCAGGCAGAGCAGGTGGTCATGGCTGCAGTGGGGACAGCAATGGGAGAGAAGAGGGACCCCTTACAGCCTGGCACTTGGCACACAGTGTCCCTGAGCATCTTTACCGCGGCAGCCACGTGAGTATGGGGAGACCAAGGCCCTTGGAGTGGAGCTCGCTTGCTACCGGGGCCATGGGGAGGGAGCAGTGAAGTCAGTACAGGAATAAACACAGTATTTCAGGAGGTGGAAAGTGCAAGAGAGAAAGATAAAGGAAGGTAAGTGCAGCAGAGGGGCAGGGAAGGCCTCACTGGCCAGGTGTCACCTCAGCAGACACCTGGATCTGTCTAGCCAACTCTGGATGGTGCACTCCCTAAGGGCAGCCATTGGGTTTTGCTCAGATCCAGATCCCCAGTCCGTAAAAAGAAGTTGTGGTATATTTATACAATGGAATACTACTCGTCCATAAAAAATAATAAAATAATGCCATTTGCAGCAACATGGATAGATCTGGAGATTGTCATTCTAAGTGAAATAAGCTAGAAAGAAAGAAAAATACCATATGATATGACTTATATGTGGAAACAAACAAAAAAAAAGAGACAAACGAACTTACTTGCAAAACAGAAACACTCTCAGACATAGAGAACAAACTTGTGGTTACAGTGGCAGGGGAAGGAGGATAGGGAGTAAGTTGGTAGTTATAGAGATTTGCAGATACTAACTGATACATAAAGAATAGATAAACAACAAGTTCATGCCATGTAGCGCAGGGAACTATATTCGATATCTTGCAGTAACTTATGGTAAAAAAGAATATGAAAATGAATATATGTATGTTCATGTATGATGAAGCATTGTGCTGTATACCAGAAATTGACACATTGTAAACTGACTATACTTCAATAAATAAATAAATATAAATATAAATAAATAAATATATATTTAAAAAATATATATATACACACAAACAGATCCCCAGTCCCAGCCCTGATAAATGTCTGTTGGAATTAAGCAGGGCTGGGGGGAAGGGCTGGTCTGCAGCTGCAACAAACAGGTGAGATGGCAGGAAGGTCAGGCCCCACCACCCAGGTGGGAGCTGCAGAGGAGCCGGGGGCAGGGAGGAAGGACCATCTATATGTCAGGAGCCGTGAGGAGTTTCTACCAGCATGAACTCACTTAAATATCCCAAACCCCTTCAAGGTGGGCACTCCCTGTTACCCGGTGCATATCTATAAGGGTTAAGCTCAGAAGTTAGATGGTCGCCCAAAGTCACACAGGTGGATCTGGACCCGGGTCTGCTGACTCCTGGGTCACACGTCTCCAAGCCAACCTGACCCGTCTCCCCCGGTCTCACCATGCCCAGTCCCCACAGGAGAAGGCCTCCACAGTCTGTGCTCAGACCTGGAACCTTCCTTCTGGTCTCCTCTTCTCTCCATCTCAGCTTAGATGTTACCACTGAGAAGCCTGCCCGATGCCAGCGGGACCCTCCTGCTCAGCCTGCTCCTGCTCCGCCCACTTCCTTGGTGCAGAGCCCGTCACTTCCACAAGTAATCACTTTTGGTCCCTTGTTTACTGCTTTTCTTTCCCCACTGAGGGCAGGGATCGGCTCTGCTCAGTGCAGCGCTGCTTATCCAGCGCACACGGGAAGCTCCCCACAGACACTCAGCTGGTAAATGAAGGAGACCATGAGACCCACCTCCGGGGTCCTTCATCTTTTCCTGGACAGGCTGCCCAGCCCCACAGGAAGCCCAGAGAGGCACAGCCCTGCAAGGCCCCTGACCAGGAAGGCTGGAGCAAACAGGCAGGAGACCTTTCTGAGGATGTGTGGCTGGTAATGGAGGAATTGACCCAGAGGGAGCAGGGCTGAGCTGAGTGGCTCTCAGATCCTGCGTGGGGAGGTCCCCACAGAAGTGTCCTGACTCTTGCCTCAGCCTCCCTCCAGGAGGGCACCCAGGCTTATCCACACTCCCCTGGTCCTGCTGGAGAAACTGCCTCCTCCCTCCTCCTACTGGTCGGGACATGTCCATCCTCTTTCTGGTAACTTCCTTGGCCCCTGCACAGGGGTATGTGTGGAGAGGGCACTGTGTAGTGGAGGGGAAGGATGAGGAGGCTGTAAAATAGGGGAGGTGCCCCCCCAGGGCACACATTACAGGGTGGTGGAGGAAACGAGTGGGCTACACCAAGAAGAAGCCGATCCTTCAGGCGAGGAGAGGCAGAGCCACGCGATGCGGCTGCCTGGCCCTGGGATCAGGGGCTGCACCTGTTTCCAGGAGGAGAGAGCTTTCCCTGCAGAAATACAGCTGGGAGAAGCCTGCAGTAGCAGAAAGGGCATGGACTCGGAAGACCTGGGCTGAGACTGCTCTGAAACTCACTCCGTGCACCCTTACCCTCTCAGGGACTCAAGTTCTGCATTTGCAAAATAAGGTGACTAATGCCTCCCTAGGAAGGCTGTTAGGAAAGCAGCATAGTAATAAACAGACAACAAATGAACCACCTCTGTTATTAAAGGGAGGGTGGAGAGACCACAGCCCATAGGAAGCATGCTTGTCCTGGTGATGCGCCAGGCCGGCGGGCACTGATTCTGGGCACCAGGGACTGTCCTCAAGTACACGGCTTGGGCTTCTTCTCTTTGTGCCCATCACCCAGGCCTGCCTCCTAGAACAGGCCTGGATATTCAGCAGGTGTTGGGAAATCAGCCCACCCAACTAGCTCTCGGAGGGAGGCGGGGTAAGGAGTGAGTGGATCAGAGGGAAGCAGGCTGAGCATCGTGGCAGCTGTGGACTCTCTCCAGAGGAGATCTGGACCATCTCCGCCGACAATCCATGACACGGTCGGGGAGAGGAGGGACAGGGCCGCAGCCAGCTCCGTCCTGTGACCCGGGGGCCTGCAGGGTGACTGATGGAGGAGCAGACCAGGCCCTCTGAAGACTCAAGTCTCTTTGCTGTGAACTGCAGAGGGCGCGAGCTACCTTGCAGAGCCAGGGGCAGACTAGACAAAAGCCCTGAGCCTCCTGAGGGGCCCCCCAGGAGAGGCCTCGTGCCTGTGCCCCACCCCCCTTCCCTCCTCCACTTACGTCCGCTTCTCATCCCTCATGGAGCTCAGGATGAAGGCTGGCTTCCGGGCCCGGGAGATGTGCACGAGGTCCTGCAGTTCTGCGAGGCACAGGGCAGGGTGGGCTGGGGCCAGGCAGAGGCAGGGCCCCCGCCACCCTGTGGGTCCTGAGGGCAAATCTGGAGCTGGGGCCTCACCCCACTGTCCCTAGCAGGAGCATCTGCCTCCTGCCCCCAGGAAGGGCTCTTTGTCCCAGGATAAAGCTGAGCCAGAGGCCACAGGCCCCTCAGGGAGAGAGGCTGGAGATCAGAGGGGAGCCCACTGCTCTGGGAATGGCCCCGCATCCTGCCCAGCCAGCTCCCGATTCTTCTCAATGTTTTCCTCCCGAAGCCCTGAAGCACAAGCACCCCTGACATGTCCTCTGTTTGCAGCTCACAAAGCGTTTCTTCGTGCAGGGGGGCCAGTGCTGCTGACAGCCACCATCACCAGAACCATCAACCCCAATTTATACGAGGCTCAAAGCCGTTACACAACTCATCCAAGGTCATTAAGCCAAAAAGGCTGAGTTAGGACATTCCTCAGGGTTTAACTCCATGAAGGCATGGAGACCTCCCTCCTCTCTTTAGATGCCTCTTGTCCTGATCCAGGTCTGGAAACTTCCTCTGCTGCCTCAGATCGGATGCACCCATTCAAGGCGCCCGTGTTTTCCCCTGTGCCCAAAGCCCACCCTGTGCCCACCCCATGGATTAGCCGCCCTCCTGACGAGCAGTGCGGCCCCAGGTGGTCTGGCTCAGCAGTGCCACATCCTCTGGATGCTGATGGGCACCCCCCGACCACTGTGCACGGAGACTAGAAGCAGCAAAGCAGGAAGGCAGCCTGCCAGGCGGTGTCTCCCGCTCGCCAGGGCAAGTGGCCAGAGAGTGGGCGAGAGGAGCGGGAGACTGGCCGGGAGAGGCGGTGGACAGAGCGCCAGGGGGAGGTTTATGCAGCTGAGAAAAAGGGGACGAGGGGACTAGAGCTGCAGCTAAAGTCAGGGTCCAGTGGGCTCTGTGGCCCCTCTAGGCCCAGGGCATTACCCATCTGACGCCGGGCCCCAGGCCCACCATCCAGCCTGGCTTGGGTGGCTGACTGCCTGTAAAATTGAGAGATTAAGATGGGGGGCAGGTCCTGGGTGGGGATGGGCAAGGGGAGAAGAGAGATGGGCCCAGAAGGACTAACTGTGGCTGCCTGCTCTGCCTGTCCTGCGCTCCAGGCTTGGCTGGGCTATGCTGGCTGGAGGTGCTGGTGTCTGTTTCCCCAAGAGTTTTAAAAAGTTGCCAGTTTGCCAAGGGATCAGTCCCTGACAGCCCTGTTCAGGGGACCCCACTCCCAATCGATCCAGGGCCCTGGGTGGGCCAGCCCACAGAAAGCCCAGGGGCCATCTCCTCAGGGGCCGTCTCCAAGGGCACCAAAGATACACGAGGTGGATGCTGGTTGCCCGGCCAGTAGGTCACCGAAGGAGCAGAGAAGTGGAGCACACAGGCCCCAGGCCTGATGGAGATTCAGCAGCGTGGCAGGAAGGCTGCCTTCTGCCTTGGGGCCTCGTTTCTTCCCCATCAAGGACTGCTCTGACCCAGGGGCCTGGGAGCCAGGTGGAGAGGAGGGAAGTGGGAGGGGAAAGGCCTACCTAGGTTGTTTAAGCTGATCGGTGGGGGCTGAGATCTTTCCAAGGAGAAGAAGGAATGCTGCGTTGTCGCGGAGCACTGCTCCGCGGAGACCCCTTGGAGGAGTGGGGAGCGGTAGTCGGCCCCTACGGTTCTCAGCAGAGTTAAGAGCGCCTTCCTGGTGACAACTTGTCATGGTTTGGGGAAGGAGGAGATCGCACAGGATCATAAATTATGTCACATGCCAGTGAGAGGTCCCTCCTTTCCACACACGGCCCCCTCTCCCAGGCCACCTGGGTGTGTGTGGGATCGGGGCCCAGTTCCACTCCAGTCTGTTACATCCAAAGCAGCCTCCTGGGGCCAGGGAGGGCCCTGGGGGCCGGCCATGAAATACGGAAGGAGGTTGGTGTTGCCTGGCCCGAATATTTGAGGGTCTCCCTTTTCCTTCTGTGCCAGTCAAGAAAGCAGGACTCCCACTGCCATGTTCAGCAACTCTCCAAGCTTTCAGGGCTCCAAGGGGATGAACCAGCCAGTGGGCGTTTACTCCCAGCTAACGGATGGGATAACTGAAAACGCACATGTGCGCACACGCGCACACACGCCCGCTTGCGCACGCTATCGGGTACACAACCGCAGCAAACTCCACAGCTCCCCGAGACCCTCCAGGGGGGCCTCCAGCTTCTTATAAGGAGGATCTGCTCTTTCCAGCCCCAAAGCCAAGGCTCACGGAGAGACATGCAACACATGCACCGGCCTGTGGCTAATCTTGCAAGTGGTTCCATCAAGAGTAGGGAAGAGGGTTGTTGCTGCTGCCAACCCCCGAACCCCTAGAGTCTTGGCACCCTGAGGCGGGATAGGGGGTTGCAAAGAAGACTGGTTTGGCAACTCCCAGCCCCAACCGGTGGCCTCCATCTAGCAGTCAGGGCCCCTGTTCTTGGAAAAGGAAGCCTGCCCTCTGGGCCTCCCAGGTGCTTCCAGGTGCCACTCCAGGCACAGAGCAACTAGGGGTGGGTAAGGACAGGATGCTGGCACCTTATGGCCGGGACTTCCCTCCTTCCCAGTCCCTGTACCCCCAACCCACTGCTGCCCAATCCTGGTCCCAGACTGGAGAGCACGTACGTCTGCTGATCTTAGAGGCTACGAATGCAGGAGTTTCCCCAGAGTCATTCGGGGTGTCCACCTCTGCCCCAAACACAATGAGGGCCTTGACCATCTCCACGTTGTCTTTCTGTTGGGGACAGAGGGAGGAGGGGAAATATACAACAGCTCAGGGAAATGAAGAATAAAAGGACCCCGATCTCCTCCCCTTTAAACATCAACTCGGTGGGCCTCTCACCAGCACAAGGAGAGACCCTGGAACCCTTCTGACCCCCACCCACAGTTGATTCTGTATTCCAAAGTCTACAGTTTGAAGGCCAGTGCCCTGATACACAGGCTTAAAAGTATCCCCAGGTGAGGGTTTAATAACCCAGGCAGAAACTGGAAGTGAGCCACCCAGCCCCAAGCCCCGCCAGCTCCTTCCCAAAGGAAGCAATGCATCTATGACCCCTGAGCCAGGAGCCAAAGGGTCAGTCCTGATGGCTTTCAGGAGTAGCAGGAGTGGGTGAGCAAGGAAATAAAAGCTGTCCTGCCCATCGAGCCCAGGGGGCCAGTTCTGGGGGAGGAATCGAGAACATGTCCTTCCTAACGGCATCTCCCCTCCGCACAGCAAGCGCAGGGAACGTCTGGAGGCTGGGCAGTGGGGCCAGAGGGGCACGGTTTCCCAGGACAAACCAACAGACTGGCTGCCGGGAGACCTGGGCGCTGGTCCTATCACCTCCCCCTCTCGGGGCCTGATTTCCTAGCCTGGAAAATAAAGAGCTGTGTCTAGAATGCCGTTTTCCACACACCATTAGGATGCTCGTGGGCACAGGTAAATGTATGTGTTTCAACCATTAGTTATGTGCTTCTTTTTTGGTAACCTCTTATTTGTGGCACGGTTTACCACCTGTGTTGTAATAGAACAGTTCCTTCCAAATAAATTTAAGTAAATTTAAAAGCAAGCCAACTTAAAGCAGTGACTAAGTACACAGTGGTAAACATGGTTCCTGAATGTGCCACAGCCTATGCAGATGGTATGCAGGTGACTAAAGAAAGGAAACAATGGCCTAGGTCCGCAGTTCTGAAAGTAAGACCTGTGGACCCCCGTGGATGCGGAGACCCTTCAGAGAGCCCAAGAGGTCAGAACCATTTTCATAAAAATACCAAGATGTGGCTTGCCTTTGTGCCATGTTGACGTTGGCTCTGATGGTGTAAAAAAAAAACTGCGGATAAAAATGCTGGTACCTTCGCCTGAAGCAAGGCAGTGGCACCAAACTAACTGGTGTCATGGTTTTCTTCTCTGCCACGCACTCATCGTAAAAAGTACATTCGTTCATTCAAAAGCCAGCTTTCTTTTAGAAGACCCTTGATGAAGCAGTAAGAAACATCAATGTCATTAAGTTTCAACCCTGGCGTATTCAGTGTCAAAATAGAGAGTGTGCACCAGATGCTTCTGTGGCAGAATCAAGGATGATGGTCGTCTCCAGAAAAGCACTGTGTGACTGAGCTGCGAGCAGAACTGGCTGCTTTTTTTCATGAAACACTGTTTTCACTCAAGGGGACGACTGGCAGACAAACGACAACTGTTCAGCACTGGGGATCTGAGACATTGTCTCAAAAATGCAGTGAGCCTGTCACTGGAAGAAAAACAGCTGGCAATATTTTGTGCCAACGATAAAATTTAAGATTTCAAACAAAAACTGGCATTCTAACAAACTGGTATACGCCATGATGCGGCTTGACAGCATTCCCAAATTTAAAGGCTTTTCTGATGAAATCGTGATATTTACAAATGTGGGGTTTCAAGACCGTATGATGAAATGGGTCAACATTTGGAAGCTAGGCTTACTCAGCAAACCAATATTTTCCAAGGATGACATGAAATCATGTGTGGGTGTAAGATCCAGGAGAAGTATAAGAGATGAGAGTGGATTTTACTGCAACGAAGTGCGAAGAATCTGGGGAGAAGGTTTCAGAGCGTCCTCTGCCGCCGACTTGTCAGGAACTACCCCTCGCCAAGTTTTGGTGCAGTAGATAAGAATATACACAATGATCTGAAGAGCTACAACTACGTATCTTTTCCAGTTACATACATATCTATGTGAGGCCAGATTTCCTTCCTATTTTTCAACATATTCAACAACGTGCTGCAACAGAATAAATGCAGCAGAAGATAGGAAAATCCATGCCTTCTCTGAAGCCAGGCATTAAAAAGATTTGCAAAAATGTAAACTGGTGCCAACTCTTTTCATGAATTATTTTTCATTTTGGAAAATGAAGTTGTTTTTCATAAAAATGTTATTTACATTAGCACGGGATTGGTAAATTACTGTTATTTTTCAATGAATTAATCAGTATTTTGAAAATTCTTCTCTTTTCATTTCTAATATGATAAATATAGATAGATAAAATTCAAATAAACAAAGTCTTTGGGATCCTCAGTAATTTTTAAGAGTATAAAGGAACCAAACAGACCAGAAGGTTTGAGAACTGTTCAACTACATAATTCAAAGGGCCCATTCAGTGCTAAAAATGTCCATGGTTTTATTTATAGTTTCAGCCTCTTGGGCAACAGAATCTCCTCTACAATTATGACCTTTGGTATAAAACAGGATGTCTTTGAATTTGTCCTAAATCTACTTCCTCTGGAGTCCCAGGGGTCCCTCCCATTTTATCACTCTGACACTTGTTGAACAGACTTACGTGGGTATCACTATAGTTTTACACACACGTCTGTAACAAATAACATTCTCACCTCTGCACCTAATACGTTCACCCTGCAGTTGTCTAACGAGACTATAGGGGCTTTAAGGGCAGGAACTGTGCTCTGTGATAAACCAGCAAAGGTGACCAGCACGTAACATGGGCCACGCAGATGCGTAAGGAGGCGCCGCCTCCCAGGAGCTTGGAGTCTACCAGGGAGACAAGAGCAACACGGAGATGAGTACTCTTCCCTAACGATGCAAGGAAGGAGAATGAACACCTCGGGGACGTTCACTCCACGCCACGTCTTACATGTGCCGCTGAGACATCCCTGGTGGAGTTACCAAGTGTCTATCACTGAACGCTCCCCACAACTCTGCCAGGTGGATACTGACACTCCATTTTCCAGAGGAGGAAATCCAGGCTGACAGAGGTGATGTGAGGTGCCCAAGGCCACAGTAGCCAGAGCTGTCCTTGTCCTCTCTCCCAGCATCCAGGTGTCAAATGGGGACACAGGAGTGAGAGGTACCAGAACACAGAGAAAGGGGTGGTTATTTTGGGCTCAGCAGGGGACGTGCCCCAGCCCTGCCAGTCGCTGGCACCCCCATTTCCCATGGTGGGTAAGCCCAGGGCTCACCGACATGGCCAAGTGCAGCGGGGTGTTGCCGTGCTCGCCGCGGGCGTCGGCATTGGCCCCGTGGGTCAGCAGCACCATGACACAGTCGAAGCGGTTGCGCATGACGGCCACGTGCAGGGCTGTGTTCCCCGCCGAGCTGGTGCTGTTCACGTCGCAGCCCCGCTTCAGCAGCAGGCGGGCCATCTGCAGAGACAGGGTCCCGCCCGAGTCAGCGGGGTGATTGGAGCGGCCGCGGCCTGTGGCACCTGGGGGCACCTCGGCACGGCCACTTCTTCCTCTAGAGGTCTTCAGGTACTGGGCCTCTGGAAAGCTCCAGCAACAGGAGCAGCCCAGGTGGCAGACCCTGGTTCTAGGGGTGCCCCTAGACCTTGCCTTCCACACCACCAGCACCCCAGCAACTAGGGGACAAAATGTTGAAGAGGTGGTGACTTTTTAAAGGGGCTTCTTGGTCCTTTCCTGAAAAGATTCCTCTGGGCGCTGTCCCAGAACTGCCTCTGCGACCCTGCTTGGGACCCTGCAAAGGTATGACCCCTCGCTGGGACTTTGCAGTACATACCCCTGCTCACCTAACAGCCCTGGGGAGCCCAGGCTTTGGAACCCGACAGACCTGGGCCCAAAGTTCAGCCCCACTTCATCCCAGTTGTCTGAGCTTCAGAGGGTCACTGCACCCCTCTGCACCTCAGTTTTCTCTGCTGTGAAAATGCAAGTTCCCACCTCACAGGCGTGCTGAGAATGCACAAGAAAACACACAGGAGGGCCTGCCTCGGTGGCTAGCTCCTGGTGGGAAGGTCCCCGGGGTGGCTGGCAGTCTCCTCCCCACAGCCCATCACATTTGTGAGCAGGCCACGATCTCTGAGAGCACCCAGTGCACTGCCGAGCCATGCTTCCTGGACATGAGAGATCGGAGGCCTCCATCCTCCCAGGGGGACAGAGCTCGGCTTAGGGAGAGGCCTCAGAGGAGATGGCCAGCCAGGCTCTCTGTAGAAGACAGAGCTGCCGTCACCATCACCATCATCGTCACCACCCACCATCTTCTGTCTGCAAGGTACTTGACAACTTATGAAGAATCTTCTCATGCACTGTTTTGCTGACTGCACTCTCCCTCCAAAGGTAGGCCATAGGATCCCCAGTTCACATACAAGGAAACCACAGAGGGGGTGCCATCACCTCACAAGACCAGGACGCCATCTTTCTTTGGGCTTATCTGCCTGGGGGCCCACTGTGAGATCAATCCCTCAAGTGCCACCCCCAGAGTCCCCTCAGGAGGACAGCTGAGGAACGAGGGGTTTTGGGAGCCCCTGCTGCCCGCCCACCCTCAGACTCTGCCTACCTCTGCGTTCTTGGCCCAGTGGAGGGGGCTGGCTCCATAGCGAGGGTCTTTGCTGTGAATCTGGTTGCTGTCCATGCTGATAATCATTTCTGCACACCTGGGGAGAGAGAAGACATGTGGCAGTGAGGAAGGCCAGTGGGGGCAGCCTGACATGAAGAGGCCATGACTCCAGGCTTCATCTACTGGTAAGGGAGAATTCTTGCCAATAAAGTCACAACAAAACCAACCAGCATGCATACAGTGGTAAGTCAATGGTATCCTGAGCCCCTCAAGGCATAACTCAAGCCCCCAGGCCTCCAGGGAAGCCTTCCCAGATGACTTCAGTCAGCAACGACCACCCTCACCGGTGCTGAGGTTTAGCCCCAGCTTTCCACTGGTGACCTCTGGAAAGTGGCCAGGCCTGTCTGCAACATGGGGACAGTCCTAACAGGACTGGGCGAGGAATAAAGGAGGGTTAAAGGATAAAAGATATTTCAGCACTTGGTCCTGTGCCTGGCACACAGCCGGCCTCCATCCCCCCCAAACCCCAACTGTTAGTGTTTCAAGCAGTGAGTGCATCCTGTAGGACGCAGTAGGCAGGGTGTTCAGCTACTTTCCATTCCTAGACTGATAACCAAAGGAACAAAAGCAGGGGCTCAAACAGATATCTGTGTGCCAGTGTTTACTGTGGCATTATTCACAAGAGCCAAAAGGTGGAAATGACCTAAGTGTCCACCGACAGACGAATGGGTGAGCAGAATGTGGTATATACAATAAACTATTCGTCTGTCTTAATAAGGAAGGAAATGCTGATACATGCTATGACACTAATGAAACTTGAAGACATTATGCTAAGTGAAAGTGGAGTCCCAGGCCCCTGCCAGCTCTCTGTGAAGGTCAGCTGAGTTGACACCAACAGCAGAGAGGCCCCCAGGCTGGGGCTGGGATGGAACCACTCCCAGTAACCCTAACACTTGCGGTTCTCAGCGTATGGCTGTGCGGGCTGCCACATGGTAGCAGAGGGACGACGCAGCTTGGGGTCCTGACAGGAGGGTGGCTGTGTCCAGCAGTGGGGCACACCCAAGGTCCGAGATAACTCGTGTTGTCTTGTGTGCAGTGGTCCTCTTTGATCTGGGCCAGCCCCGTGTGAGAGGCCTGGAATGTGGCTGCAGGTATCTGAGGAGGGAACAACCTGGATGATACCAGGGTCCTGGAAGTAACCTGGACCAGCAGATTACTGGAGCCAGTAGGATGGCTGGAGCCAAGCAGAAGCGGGGCTGCCATGCCAGCCCTTGGGTATCGGAGAGCACCACCCATCATGTGTGTCCATTCCAGTTGAAACCTGCAGCTGGTAACCCGGTGACAGAGGGGATGGGAGCATTAGGATTGCCTCTAACCATTTTGTCAGGTCTTTCTGAAAGTTCTAGTTCATCTTAGCTGTGCAAGGGAGAATCAAGGAAAGGAAGGCTTGTGCAAGCTTGGACCAGGCCTTTGAAAGGACAGTCATGTCCCCCAGGGGCCAGCAAGGTGAGTGCAGACATCAGAGGAAGGAAAACCCTGAGGGAGGGTGAGAATATCTGCCTCTACCCAAGGGTGGCCCCTCCACGCTCTTTTGTCACTGCCCATCTAGCACACAGCACTGGAAGATGCTGGGTGACTTCTGTGCCTCCTGTCCTGAGCTCCCTCACCCTTCTCTGTAAGGCCAGTGCTTAGCACTGTGCTGGGGACTGAGGACTAACTGACTCATTCACTCATTCATTCATTCTAGATACTGTATCTGCTGGGAAATATTTGGAGATAGTCACTTCTTTTATCCCACTTTCTCCGCATCCACCACACACACACACGCACGCACGCACACACGCACATGGAGAAGAATTTCCCTGACACTAGGGTTCCCCCAGGTCTGAGGAGAAAGGAAGAAGTGAATTATCTAGAGCTCTCCAAGACAGGGGCCTGGCCCTGTGTCCCAGCAATGCCACCAGCCAGAACAGATGGATATATCAGGCAGATGGGTACCTGGGCCAACTTGCTGAGCAGTCCTGGGCTTTGAGTTGGGCACAGGAGCCACAGAGCATTGCAGCCAAGAAGGCGCTGCTCAGATCAGGTGGATGGGCTTGGAAAGAAGAGGCTTCAGGTTGTGTGGGCTCCTCCAAGCCTGAGGGTTGCATGAGATTCCAGCCCTGGAGCATCCCCGGGAGGAGAGGGGAAGAGGGGACCCTGGGGAAGTTTGTTTTTCTCCAGTTTAGTAGAGGAAGGTTCACAGTCAGAAATGAAGGTGCATTGCAGAGCAACTTTCAAAGTTCTATTCTTTGCAGAGTGGAGTTTGCAGACCAAGATTCACCCCACTGCCCACCACGCATTTATCAAGTACTTTCTTTGTGCCAGGCCGGCCCTTGGCACCAGGACCTCATGCATATCTAACAAGCCTGTGGAGGCCACTGCTCACCTGGGCATGAGGACTGGCCCTGCAGAGCGGGGGGCCCGGCTGACCGTGGGGGCGGGGGGGGTCTTACCCCTTCTGGGAGAACTTCATGGCCGTGTGGATGGGATAGCCGCTGGGCCCCATGATGTTGCATCGAGCGTTGCACAGAAGCAGCACGCGGACCATCTCCTGCTTCCCCAACTGGCAGGCCAGGTGCAGCGGGGTCAGCCCTTGGTTATTCAGCTGGTTCAGACCAGCAGACGCGTTCTTCCCTAGGAGCTGACAGCAAGACCTCGGGATGGGCAGGCGCCCGACAGAGGCCCTGGCTAGTCACTCCCTAACCTCCACCGATGGGGAAGTCTCTCTCTGGGACCTCGGGGGAAGGGAAGTTGGACCCCACGAGAACACTGACAAGAACTTCAAGAGAAGCGACCAAGAAAGGAGTCTTTGGAGGGGAAAGAAGCCGACTGGGCCAGTGCCAGCTGGCAAGTTGGTCTGGCTTGACTGTGGTGTTTATGAAAACTGTCTCCATCAGGAAATTTAAAAGGAGGTTGTATCTAGGACGGGCACTGGGAGTGAGACTTGCTTTTCACTGCATGATCTTCTATCCTGCCTGATTTTTTTTTTTTGCTAATTTTTTTTAATTAAAAAAAACTACTACTAATAAGAGAGCCATGAGGCTTTTATTTCCTCGGGTGACTCCTTGAGGTTAATTATGACCACTGTATACCCGTGTGACTGGCTGGGTCTGTTGACAGGCTGGGGACACAGCAGAAAGGCCGAGGTGCTGGCATCCAGGCCCGATTCAAGGGCCAGCCGCACCACTCACCGCTCTCTGGCCCTCCCTGGGCACACGTCTTAACTTTGCTGAACCTCAGTTTCTTTGAGGAGACGAGGATAACAGCTCTCACCCACAAAGGGTACTTTGAGAATGAGAACACATATGAGTACAGGGTCAGGCACGAGATCAGAGGTAAAGGACAGCTATTGCTCAGAGTGTGCGACTGCCCTCCGCACGGAGGCAGGCTCCGCCTGGCGCTCTGCTGGGCACGCAGTGGGGTCTCAGTAAGGATGGAGTTCAACACTACAGAATTCCTTTCCCTGAGAGCACGAATCATAAGATAGGAATCCACATTTTCTGGAGTACTGTAGTTCCATTCTGATGCCAAGGCAGAGAGAAGGATGTAACTTTTGGAAGAATCTTCCAATTCTAGGCAATAAAATCCTGTCTGGTCGTCTGTCTTTTCGATCTAACATGTAAGGTAGCCTTTTCACATTATTTGATCTACTTGCCCATGATTTTTCTTTTGTATTTTTCTGCCTAACTCATCAAAAAGAAGTGCCTCTGGTGCAAATACCTACAGGAGCCAGATGGAGTTTTGTTTGTTTTGAGCTCCTGTGAAAAGTTAAGCTGAGGTCCTGATGGACCGTGTGCACCTCCAGGCAGGGGTTGAAATGAATTCACCCGGTCAGGGGTCTAGCTTGGGAAAAGCTGAGCAAAATTAATTGACAGACTGGGCAGTTTGCTGCAGGCGGGGGTGAGGGGGCGCAGAGGAATTGCCCAGCTTTGTCAGAGAAAAGTGGCAAAGCATGTGTCTCCTTGGCAAGCATAGGGAGGGAAGCGGGGGGCTGGGGGTGTGCCTCCATGAAGGAGTTCAGGCCTCAAGGTCAAAGGGGGACAGCGGAAGGCCCAGTATGACACCCAAGCCCAGGAGCTCAAAGACAGCTGTGATCACGGTGAAGTGTGGCTGCCACAGGCCGCCCTGCCTCCACTCCTGCTCACCTGCAACACCTGGGAGTTGTCACTCTGGACAGCATAATGGAAGGCAGTCTCTCCGTTGCTGTCGGTGACATCCATCTGGGCGTGGCAGTACTGCACCAGCTCCATCAGGATTTCCCCGTCGCCCTTGCGGCAGGCCAGGTGCAGGGGAGTGCATCCCTCCTCATTTTCTGTGCTGTTGGCGCAGCTGCAGCCGAGGGACAGGGACGACAGGTGAGGGGCGTGGCCCAAGATGGGAGGGGCCCTGAGAAAGCCAAGTCCAGAAGCAGGGAGGTGGGCCAGGGGCCCAAGAGCATGCGTGTCCTGCTCCAACTGGCTGGTTCAAACTTAGGGCTGAGCCACAGTATATTTGTATCTGACGTGATTTGGATGTTTTCAGTCCCGTTTGTACACCTGTATGAGGGATGCACCCCAGGGCCGTACCAGCCTGAAGTGGGCACTTGGGGTGGCGTAGAAAGGATGGCAGAAGACAGAAATCTCACCAACCTCAGGCAACTCACTTAACCTTTCTAGGCCTCAATCTCCTTATGTACAAAAAAATAAAAATAATGCCTGCCATGCCTGCCCTAGGAAATGGATACAATGGTTGTGAGATTAAATACCATAATGTCCTAGAACATGCTGATAAACTGTAAAGGGCAGTGCAGATTTTTAGGCTTTGGGCCTGGGAGCTGAACTGAACTATCTAAGGTGGAGAACCTGAGGTGTGGCTACCTCAGGGCAGGATGGCGCACTGGGGTCCTATGGCCGGCAAGGAGCCCTCACCTGGGGCGTCCACTGATACGTGTGTTGGGGGAATGGACATCTGAAAGTCAGTGTTCCAGCTTCCAGAAAGGCAACTAGACCTTCAGAGGAGACACCAAGGGTCTAAAGCCTCTTCTGCCCTCTCCAGCTGAGACCTTGCATGGGTCACATGACCTCTCACTAGGATGACACTACTTCATAGGTGTGTTGGGAAGACTCAAGTTCATGGTGGGTATAAAACGGCTATGGCAGGCCTGGCACCTGCTGGCACTCCCGAAATGTTACATTCCTCCTTCCCACTTTAGGCAGAATTCCTGTGCTCTAACGCAGAGGCAATGCTGTCCCCCTTTTAAGTCAAATGTTCTGGGTAACCTTTGAGTTGATGGAGGGGACCTGAGGCAGGACTGAGAGACTCCCCATCCCCACACACAATGTCCTAAGGGTCCCGTCCTCCTGCCCACCTGGCGAGTCCCCCGCCCACCTGATGATGCGGCTGTGGTGGAAGCACTCTCGGATCCCCAGCTCCACTGCCAAGTGTGCCACCGACCAGCTGGGGTGGCTGCGGATGAGGTCAGTCAGCTGCTGCAGGACCTCAGTGTGCAGGATGTGGCTGGAGCTCTCGTAGAAGGGCGGCAACTGGGAAGAATACTGCTGGAAGTTCACCAGGGCATCAGCCTCTGTCTCCAGCTGGAAGAGTCTGAGGAGCCAGGCAGAGGAAGAAGACATGGAATGAGCCAGGAGGGACCCTCGACCCTTGATGGAATCAGAAGACTTGGGTCCCCACAATCAGGTCACTGCCTGCTTCCAGCTGTGGACTGACCTGCTCCAGCTGGACTCCCCTTCCCAACCACACAAACACACACACACACACAGGCACACACACAGACACACATACACATAAATACACCTAAATGGAGATGCAACTTTCTTTTCATTTGAAAAGATTTCCTTTTCTTTTTTTTCAAAAAATATCATCACGTGGTGCTTTTATATTTTATTTTACCAAAGCACTGTCATATCCACTATCTAATTTGATTGTCATTTGAGAGCCACAGCCTTGAGTCCCTGGACCCTTGTAGTGGGAAGTGAGTGGGTATTATTTAACCTAAATGTCCAGCAACAGAGTATGATATAAATTGTGGTACATCTATGTGATGGAATAGTATATAGCCATTAAAATGAGATACTAAAAGAACAGGGAAATGTTTATTTTGTAATGTTAAGTAAAAAAGCAAGGCACAAATTTTGTATGATACAGTGTGATCAAAACTGTTTTAAAAAAATGAAAGGAAAGAAAATATGTCAAAATGTGCATGGTAGCATCATAATTTAAATGTACTTCTTTATTCATTTCTGTAGTGTCTAAAATTTCTACAATGAGTCTATATGATTTTTGTAATCATATTTAAAGTTTTGTTCATTTTTAAGGAACTGGGTTAGAGTCTAAGTTCTGCTATTAAGTTGCTGTATAATCTTGGAAAAAATTCTTTCCTCTCTGAGTCCTTTTTGAAACATAAGACTAATTGCACCTGTCTACCTACCTCACAGAGGTGCTGTGAGGATCAGATAAGATAGCAAGATAAAAGCACTTTAAGGACCATAATAATTGCATGCAAATAATGGTTACTTGAGGCTCTGACCAGGCTTTCAACATGCCAGTTTTTAACCTACACATCTCTACAAGCCCAGTGGCCAGCCAGGATCTAGCGGAGGTAGTGCCCAGAGAGTGTTGTCTCCGCAGGGCTAGCCTGTTCTTACCTAAAATAAGGAAGGATGTGAAACAGACTGGCAGGTAATAAGTGCTATAGAAAAAACAAACAAGGGAGGAAAGGATATGGGAGGGAATCATTCCTCATTCTCCGTGGCTGGTTTTTGTTTCATCTCACCAACCCCTTAATATCAGAGTGCAAAACAATAAATGCTGCTTTTATGTCAAATATAATGACAACTGAAAATGATCACTGGATTTAGCATCACTGAAACCTTGACAAGAGCAACCTTCACAGGAGTACTTGTGGGGGAATGGTGGCACCAAATCCTGCTTGGAATGGGTTTAAAAAGAATGGGATGTGAGAAATTGGAGACAATATGTATAAACAATATTTTTGAGGAGTTTTGCTGTAGAAGAGAACCAACAGAGGTAGGGAATGGGGAAAGTGTAATCAGACATTCATATGCTGATGGTAATGATCCAAAAGGAAATGGGGTCTCTCTGAGAATTTCCCCTTCTGTTATTGGCAGGCAAGGTAACATGAACCAGAATGACAGAAAGGGACAACCAGAAATGCTGGACAAAATGCAGAAAGCATCTGCTTTAAGGTGCTGGATACCTAATCAGACAGTGACGAATTACCAGGCTGGAAGTGATTATGGAGACAGGAACTGAGCCTGGTGTTTAGGGCTGCTGTTATTTGAGAGGCTGGGGGGATACGCAGTAGCATTAACAACCTCACAGGCTCAGGAGACAGGGATTAGAAACCAGGGATCCACAAAAGGAGAACCCTGATGACCACCTGTCACTGTGGGTTAGGATCCTGAAGGACTACACGCTAGGAATAAGGTGGGCCACAAGTAGACAGACCCTCACGTGGACTGCAACTCGGCCTCAAATAATTTCAGTTTCAGAAACTGGACTGACATTATCTGAGTCAGAGAGTTCCCAGGTTCCTGGGAGAAGTGAACATAAAGAAAACATCAAACTGGATTTCAAATTATTTCTACAAGTATTACTACAAATTCAATGTCCAGTATGTAATCAAAACTCACCAGGTAGATGGGGAGATAAGAAAATATGAAAGAAAATCAACAGAAGCAATATACAACAGAAATAGATCTATGAGTGGGGGGCTGCAAATACTGAAGTTATCTCACATAGATTTTAAAATAAAGGTGATGATATTCAAGAGGATAAAGTAGAAGATTCACAATTTTGGCAAATCACGTTTAACTATTAAAAAAAAAAGAACCAAGTGGAAATCACAAAATTAAAAAATACAATTGCCAAAATTAAGAACACAATGGCTAGGTATAATAGAAGATTGGATAATGCTGAAAAGAAAATTAGTGTAAAGGAAGATAGGCAGAAAAGAGTAAACAGACTAAAGCATGGAGAGATAAAAGCTTGGAAAATGTAGATAACTAGGTAGAAGACACAGAATATATAATGAAAAGATCTAACATGTAAGCGGAGCCACAAAAACAGAATAGAAAGAGTTGGACAGAAGCCATATTTGAAGAGTTAATAAGTATGAACTTTCCAGAATTGATGGAAAACGTTATTCCATTAATTTAAAATATCCTGTAAGTCCTCTTCTACCAAAAAAAAAAAAAAAAAGAAAATCCACACTTACACTCCTCCCACTGAGCAGTGGGCATTTATGTCTCTTTACTGTTTAATCTGGCTCTGTAACTCCTTTACCAAGAGGATATGGCAGAAGTGATTCTATCCTAGTATCAGGACCAAGGCTTTAAGAGACTGGAAGCCTCTCCCTCTTTTCTGTTGGGACCCAGCCATCATGCCACAGGGATGCTGAAGCACTCATTGCAATGACTCTTGGCCTTGGACCTTCAGCACTGGATGAACTCCTAGTCAATGGTGAGCACCAACTTGCCAGTTGTGAGTCATCTTAGAAGTGGATCCTGTGCTGTACACCAGAAATTGACACAACATTGTAAATTAACTATACTTCAATAAAAATATATTTAAAAAAATAAAATAAAATACAGATAAGGTGGGGGGAAACAAAGTGGATCCTGCAGTCAAGCCACACCAGCTAATGCCATGTAAAATCGAACTGAGCCTTTCCCACTGAGCTCTGCTCAAATTACAGATTTGTGGGCTAAATAATTGTTTTAAGCCACTAAGTTTTGGGATAGTTTGTTGCACAGCAATAACAGCATGACACATATTGGTCAACATATTGTAACTTAGCAATAACTGACACATGTGCCCTGTTACAACTGCTGAAAACCAAATGCAGAGAGAAAATATTAAAAATAGCAAAGGGAAAAAACTTATCTTCAGAGGGCTACTCAACAAGGAAGCTCAACAATGGAAGCCAGAGATAATGAAATGACATCCTTAAAGAGCTAAAAGAAAAGAAATGCCAATGAGAATTCTACACCCAGAGAAAAAAACACTTCAAGCATGAAGTTGAAATTAAAATACTTCACTAGTCAAACAAATAAATGAGAGAGAAAGAGAAAGACTGACTATGTCATTAGCACACCCAAACAAAAGGAAATATAAAAGAATTTTCTTCAGGTAGGAGGAACTTGACCCTAGATGGATGGTCAAAGATGCAGGGAAAAAAACTAAGCACCATGAAAATGGTAAATATTTAATGATGAGTGAATCTAAATAAATATTGACAGTATAATGTCTTGTTGGATTTAAAATTAAAATATTAATGAAAAAGAACACATGGCATAGAAGCCTGGAGGGGGATAATGAAGTTAAAGGATTCTAGGGCCCTTTTATGGTTCAGGAATAGGCCAAAGCACCACTTATACTTCAGTAAGGCGAAGGATGTGTGTTATAATCCCTAGGGTTCTATCAAGAACTGTGAAGGGTTTCAGATTTTACCCTAGTTGCAGACTAACAAGTTAGCCTGGCACAGTTTCATGGATGCTGGCAGAAGACACAAGATTCCTGGATCAAAGACAAAGGGCAATTTATTACTCACAGCAATAGCAGTAGCCGGAGTATCAGCATTTGTGCCAATTCCCTGAGATCCAGTTCCCAGAAGGTGACACAAAGAGGGTCAGGTGACACCTGCTCATGTTGCACTAGAAGAGAGAAACCCCGAGTGTAAGGAACTTAAATCTGCTATAATCATCAATGAGAAGATCCGTCCAAGCTTTGTTCTGGAGGAAAATATTAGCTTTATTACACAGAAAAGCGAGCAAATCTATTCTCTTCTCTGGAGAGAGACCCCATCTCTATCTTCCAAGGCTGTTCACAACACAGACACCCTTGTAAAATAGTCTAGAACAAAGGTAGTCTGTGTCTCTGCTCATAAGATGTACAGAAACACAAGGGACTCATGGAGAACTGCCTCCCGAAAGCTGTCATTAAAAGATAATAACAGAGTATAAATTTCCAAGCCAATAGAGATGGGGAAAATGGAACAACAAGAAAAGATTCAGTCATGAATTACAAAAGCATTGTGCTAAGTGAAGAAATCAGATTCATAAGACTACACGCTGTATGGTTAAAAGGTAAAACTATAGTGATAAAAAGCAGATCAGTGTTTGCCAGGGGCTATGGTGGGTGCAGGGGCCTTATTCCAAAGGAGCACGGAGGAAACTTGGGGGATAACAAAAATACCGTACATCCTGCTTGTGGTCATGGCTACATGGGTATGTACCTTCGTCAAAATTCATTGAATGGTACACCTAAAGGTGGTAAATTTTATTTTTTGTGAATTGTATCTCTGTAACATTGACTAAAACAAAACAAAAATAAAAAGAAGACAAGAAAGAAAGGAATAAGGAAAAAAAGTAGGTAGAAGAACAACAATAAAAGCAAACAGTAAGATAGTAGATTTAAAGCCAAATCTATCAGAATTACACTAAGTATAAATAGACTAAATGTTCCAAATAAATATAAGGAATAACAGACCAGATAACAGAAAAAAAGAAGAGGCAACTTACATATTCTTTACATGATTAAAAATATAAGGAAGTACATTATAT